ATATATAAATTAAAATTTGAATCAACATGAATATACAATTCGTACAAATTATTGATTATGAAGTATATAAAAAGATATAAACACTATAAAATTGTGTTTATATATCATGGCAAATTTGAATTAACAAGAAATTAAAAACTTATGCTTCTGTTTTTCTTACTCTGGCTAGTTCAATTGTTTCTTCTTGGAGATTTGCACTTGCTTCAAGCTCTTTTTTACTCAAATGTTCAACAACATAAGCTCCAAGTGCATCACATATAACATTTATCGTCGTACGAAAACGATCCCTATAAATATTAATTTATATATAAATTTAGTGATTATTTATAACAATATATATTAATATATATAAATAATATAAAAATATTTTTATTAATATAGAATGAATAACTTACAGAAGCCAATCTACGGCAATAATAAGTGTTACATCTTCAGCAGGTAAACCTACAGTATCTAATACCATAACCATTGTAACAAGACCAGCTTGTGGAATACCAGCAGCTCCTATACTTGCTGCAGTTGCCGTTATACTGCAGAAACATTAACATTAATAAAAATTTTAATATCATTTTTTAATGAAAAATTTAGTTTAATAAGTACCTAACACCAATGACATTGCCAAAAGACAATGGAATTTTTCTAACTTGAGCTATAAATATTGCTGCAACAGCTTCATATAATGCAGTTCCATCCATGTTAATAGTAGCACCAATTGGAACAACAAATCTTGTAATTCTAGGATCTATACCTATATTATCTAAACACTGTATTGTTACTGGCAGTGTAGCAGTGCTAAATTCATAAAAATAAATGTCAAAATTTTTAATATTTTTTATATTTATAAAATCAATTAAATCATGCAACTTACCTTGATGAAGTACCAAATGCAGTTGCTAAAACTTGACTCATCTTAGCTATCATTCTAAATGGCAATTGTTTAGTACAAATGAAAAATATAATAGAAAGTGTTCCACACCCATGAATAATCAAACCTAATAATACTGTAATAAAATATAAACTTAATTGTCCAGCAATAGCACCAATATCTTCAATTTCTAAAAGTTTTGATATAACAAGAAAAAGCACACCAACTGGAGATATTCTATGAGAAAATAAAATATTTAGATAATAGATTTTATTAATTTAGATTAATTAAACAAATAATATATTATATATAATTTTTTACCGTATAACCCATCTAGTAATAATCATAGATACTTCAGATAAAGTGTCAAAAAAATTTAAAAGTGGTTTTCCTGGTTCACCCATTTTACTAAGAGCTATTCCAAATACAATTCCAAATATAACTAAGCCTAAAGTGTTCGTGCCATCTGCATATTTATGAGATATTTCCCAATCTTGTACGTTACTTACTAAAAAATAAAATATTTATTTATGAAATAAATTTATTAATATTATATTTTATTAATATTAATTATTAATAAAATTATAATTGATTGAAATACAATATTTACCTTCTGTCTTATTTTTAGGCTCTATTAATACAGTACGGTACTAAAGGATATGATGCAAAATTAATTAAAACTTTAATTAATTTCTAGAATACAGAATTAATTATTTTTTATAGCAAAATTAATATACCTGAGCAATACAAGCTTGTACAAGATTTGGTGGAAACACATTTCTAAAAATAAAATTTTATAAAAAATTCATATAATTTATATAATTTAAATATTTGTTATTATACCTGATTAAATCTAATATTGTATCTGTGGTTGTAATATCTTTAGCTGGAGTTATATTCTCTTTTGCAATCATACCACCAGTGAACTCTCCAGGTCTAATAATTAAGACTAAAATTATGCCAAGAATTACAGCAGATATTGTTGTTGAAGCATAATAATAAATCGATCTTATACCAATCTTTCCTATAAATTGAATAAATTTAAAAATATTATTTTTATACTTTTAATTGGATCTGATATATTATGTATTAAAATTATCATAATTAAACATTTAAACAAGAAACAATTCGAACATAAAAATTTTATTTCGAGAAAAAAAGTAAAGTAATTTTAATTTTTTTTATTTTTAATTAGTATTTATATAATTTAATAATTAAAAAAAATAAAATATGTTATCGCAATTGTTCTTATTTCTCTCTCTCTCTCTCTCTTACCAAGAGACAAATCATACCAGAAAATACTGGTAATCTGTGTTACTAAACCAAACACGTAAACAAGTTTACGCGCCCACGCAATCGATTCGTCATAAGTAATCACTTGTTTGAAAAGTTTTTTACAAGAGGTGTGTATTTTTTTTAATTACCGGATAAATTAAGATCCAAGCCGCCGATCGCACTAATAATGCTAGCGACAATTAAAGGCAATATAAGTGCTTTTAACATTCTAAGAAAAATATCCCCCGGAAATTGAATATACATGATTTCGCGTTTTGTCCACGGTTCATCTTTGACATTTCTTAAAATCAAACCAAGAATAGCACCTATTACAACGGCGATTACAGTAAGCATTGTCAGCATATTTTCTGACATGCAACTTTTCCATTTTTTCGGATGTGCCATGTCTTTCTATTCTAAAAAAAAAATAATAATATAATATTTTTAGTATGTTATTATATTGAATTAATAATATAAATTTATTACATAATAATTTTAAATATATATATATATATACATTGTATAAATTGTTTTATTAATATGAATATAAAATATTATATTCAAGTTTTTAAAAAATATGTAACATCGAGATATCATCCTAATGTGAGCTAGCTTTATCAACTTGTCGAAATCTAATGTCATCCTCATAACTCGGATCCATATTAAAATATTTGCATATGTATGGAAGACTGTGATAAGACTGACATGTAGAAGTAAAATTATGGATAAAAAGATATAATTGAAACAGAGGATCTCGGATAGAAGAATATTTTACGCGAATCTTAGCAAAGACTTTGTAAATACAGGTAAATAAGATGAATCAATTTTATATTAATAAATGTTTCTAAATTATGATGACCAATTCCTCTATTATTTTACTATCATAACTATACTATATATATATTCATATTGTTCTATAATTAATGTTTTATAATTTGTTCATATTGTTCTATATTTATGTTCCTTATTATTTTTATTGGCCATAAATTATCAATATTCTTTTTAATTAATGATTTTACTGATTTAATTATCAATCATATATATATATATATATATATATATATATATGTACATACATATGTATGTATAT